ATCCGGACTTCTTTAATCTGCCTTGATGTGCAATCGTCACCGCGGCCCACAATTTAAACTACGTCAAAGTTTAAGGCGTGCCTCTCTCTCTGCACCACCATTCGGGAAAACTCGGATCAAGTGATAAGTGATATGGTTGGCAAAACCGATCGATGGCGAGAACGCTTTAGAGAGCTGCTGGATCCGCCTACACGTCTATCTGCGAACCTACAGCTACCAACCGGAATTGCATACGATACTGACAGCGAGCCACCTACGAGATTAGAATTGGAAACAGCACTGCGACGATTGAAAGGTCGGAAGTCATTGGGTGAGGATGGTGTTTCAGCGGAAGTCTACAAAACTGGTTGTCCTGCTTTGACAGAATTACTTCATCGACTGTACTTGACTATATGGTCTACAGAAGTTACCTCTACTGACTGGTCATTGTCCATCATCTTTTTCCGATACCGAGTGCGGTGACGTGTCCACCCCATTGGGGTGGCGTTGATTTGCTCATGTATGATCACTTCGAAGGTGAACGTCTTGAGGCAATGCTCCAAGAGTTCTATGGGATCCTGAGCTGTGGGCTGACCTTTTTTTTCTAATTTTGACATAAAGTCACGGATTGTTTGGACAGCAAGGGCCTGTGGTATGGACGTGAAGAGTTAGGTAACATAAAATGATACCATCCTCTTATCTGGTTCAAATGGAACTGTCGCTATTTGTCGAGCGATTGTTCTGCCGAGTGAACTATCGTTTGTGAGCCCGTCGTGAGAAACTTCAAGTCCTAGAATAACCACTTTTCAAGTTCGTATGTAGGCGTGCCTCGGAGGAATACGATTGGCCGTGGGGGAACGTCTGGCTTGTGTACTTCTGGGAGGCCATATATTTGTGCCATTACTGCCTCGGTGGGCTTTGCCATATACCAGTCCTCGACGGTGATGACCCTCTCTTTCTTTAGTCGACCCAGAGTTCTGCTCACATTTTCCAGTAGTGGTTTTGGGCCACCTGCGTCGCAGACTTTCTAGGGCACTTCATCATCGAGGATCGTTCGGATTTTGTTTTGGTACTCAGCCTTGTCGAAGAAACCGTTGACCAGCCCTAGTGAAGGTACAAAACAACTTTTTGGGTGTCTCTTTTTAACTACCTTAGGGCTTTTTGTTCCTCTCTTAGCAGCAAGTGGGTTTTTTTTGTTTGACATGAGCAGAGAGATGACCTGGTGTCGAAGGAGGTTTTTGGTCTTGTCTGTGACCCCAGTTTGGCATACCGCCGATTCGGAGGAGTCAATTAAGGTGACCAGATCAGTGTCGGTTGTGTTTAATCCGGGTGTTTTGGGAGGTCTTCAGGGTGTCCTTGTAACAACGCCCAGTAATCAAAATAATAGAAAGCAACTATATACGAGCTAAATTATCGGGTTAAATAACATTTTCGGAACGAAATGTTTGATAAAAAAAGACAACCTGATGAACTGGTGGTGCGAAAATGGTTGACAGCAGACAGGCGCCAACAAGAACGATGTTCCATTCATGCGAAAACTTGATTAACACGGATGATTGTAGGTAACTACAGCACCCTTATGGTTGATTATGATCGCGTCTGTCTACCATTAATAAACTTATCGGCAGACATTTGTGTACTTCCGTGCAATCACAGACGTGAAATTGTCAGCAAAGTGCGTTTCTAGGGATATGAAAATAGTCAGTCAGAAAACGGTGACTAATGAGCAGACCCTGTTTGCGTTCAAATATGACAGGGAAATAATGCTGTCGGTGCCTGAACAAATATGTATGGGTATTTATAATGCTTCTAGCTCTCCGTGCAGGAGAGAAATCAACTAGATAAGTTGGCATTGAAGCTCTAACACCACATAAGGCTGTTGTACACTATGTTAGCGCAAGCAAATTGACTTAACGTATTGACAGTCAATAGTGACACTCTTGAAGATCAAATGAAAGATTAAATAATTTTGATCAGTGAGAAGAAAGAAGTTAGTGAGATTATGAGAGTTCGTTAATGGAACAGACAGTTAACTGAGAACGAGCTAAATATGGAGTCTACACATTTGGATGAATAAGGCCACTTTCGAGGACATAAAACCTCAACCTTTATGTTTGCTTGTCAAGACAAAGTAGTACTGCTTATCTGTATTCGCGCAGTATTTATTTGAATTTCAGCGAAATTGAAATCTCAAGTAAGCTCGTAATACAAAAGAACGACCGGCTAATCTGATGAAACATGCCAAGAATGAATGTAAAGCTAACTTGTGGCCACGCTTAACCTTACTTCACTTGGAAATCAAGTTCTGCAAAGCGATGAGGAGTATTTTCATTGGTTTCAAAAAAGTGGACAAACGTGTCATGTGCCGGTGAGATAGGTTATGATATTTATTAATTATCGAACTGAAATGACAGACTGGTTTCCGCACGCTGGGACTTCGTTGAATATAGCGGTAACATGGCGCTCTTTTCCCTGTATTTATTTCTGGAGGCAATACATCTAGTACTTTTGCTTTGGATTGCAGGTTAAGGCCACAGTAGTGATGAGCAAGTCACAACTGTAAGGACACAAAAACTACCGAGAAACGTAAATAGTAACTATCGGTTACTAGTAGGTTATTGACGACAGTTGTATGCGAATACGCTGAAAAAGGTCATTCTACTTATTCTGTCTATGTTTGCACATCACTTCCAATCGCGTTTTAAAACGACAACTGTCCTCTTGGCCGTTCAGATCAGACACATTATTTATAAAGTAGTATTACAAGTGTGTGGTACCAAGCCGGGCATTGACCACGTGCGTTTGTTATCAAGCTCCTCAGACTGAGTCGCACACAACCGCATCACTCAAAACGATCATGATCGTCGACTTGAAACGAGTTTACCAATTGTCTCAGCTAGTTAACGATATGTTTTCAGCAACTCATCTGGATGATACTGATTGCGTACTTACATAGTAGGCAACTAATTGCCAGATATTCGATGTCAAACAAAACCTCACGATCACTGATTCTGAGTAGACGAAGAGATTCGGCCAAGTTTTTGGGCTGGTATACAGATTTATAAAATAGCCTTGAAACCTGTTGCACAGGCCCGTTTATCGAGCTATGTAAAAGCGGCCCAACAATCGAAATCAAAGGTAACGCTCTAGATGAATGAAAAAGGGCCACTATGTAAAAAAAAGACAACAGAACTTCTGACAAATGTAGAATCTGCAATATCAGTATTAACAAAAATAAGAACGTATGCGATGAAAGCACAGCCTACAAGATTCACGATCGACTAGACTTTTGGAACAATGAGTGAGGTATATTTTAATAGATGAAATTTTGGGGCACACTTTGGGTAATGCGCGAGAGAGAAAGAACAGCAAGGGTGACTCTGTAGCGCCGCGTGGTTAGTTCCTTAAGTCATGCACGAGACTTCACGGATTCCTTCAGCTAACATGCAAGTATGAGGGTGGAGATACAAGCAGATGACTTCATGACTATGCTTATACTATAATTGCAGCAAATCGATGGGCATTTGTATTCGCGATGGTCAGGGGGTTGCGAGATTTCCAATATTTGCAATCTGATTGCTAATATCGATGCACCATCGATGGCGACAAAGCGACAAATATCAATTTAAAATTTTAGACGCATGAGCAAGCATACACATGGTTAAATACAAAGAAAACAACGATCTTCCCACAAATTGACTAAGTATTACACGCGTGCAACATATGTACACAAAATTTGAACTCGTAAAATTCAGGTGTCTGCGCTTCATGGCTCCCTTGATAGGGCAACTAAATTAACGATAGACTACATCATAATAAAATAACTGATCTAGCAACCTTATTTTCGACACAGACAATCAGTTGCAAGGGCTATAGCACCTTTGTAACGACTAACCTCATCCCGACTCCTTAGAAGGAATTCAAAATTAACACCTGGCCGAAATTCGAGGAGAAATTAAACAAACGCGTGAGGCTGAAGTACTGTATACGCTTGTTTTATCCGACTCTCTGAATATTTCCGTACTTTCGTTACACGAAGGCTACTTGATAAGAGCCAGAGAAGAGCATTGAGTAAGTCTCAAAAAGTGATTTAGAGGAAAAGTGGGGATTTTTAAGCTTGAAGATGTAGTCACACAAACAAATGCCAGGAAAAAAGTGATTAATTAAGTCACCGAAGTAGTGTAGGTGGAACAATCCATTTTACGTCCGCTATAGAGAAAAAATAAAAATAATACAGGAACAATATTAAACTTTGACTTACAGTGCCACGCGTTTCGTCTTTGGATGCGAAGTGTCGACATCCAGGGCATATCCTTTCTCCACGACTACAGTCTACTTCATGTCATAGCAGCTTGTACTTATTTTAAATCGAATTCTAATTTTTAATAAATTAATCCTCTCAAATTTAATAATAGGGCGTCAGTAGAAATAACCGAAAACCTTCTGACCGCCTACTTGCCAGCAATTTCAGGAAACTACCAAATTTAGGAACGGTGTAATGTTTCTCCAGTACTTCTTAGTGTTCGATCTTAATAATAGTAATCGATCGTTTGCCCTCTGCACATTATGGCAACTGGCTGTCCGGTACGGTTTTAAACATCGCCAGGGTGACACAATGTAGAAATAAGTAATAGAGGTTTCCAAATAGCACGAACGCTGGGTATTCTGTTAGCAAATCACATCCTGCCAAACGAGTTAAGAGTAATAACTTCTATGCGTGTCAAGTTCAAAGACATTTCGTCAATGACAGACATGTTTGGGTATGGAGAAATGCATAACGAACCTTGAAACAAGTTAGAAAAGCTGCTCTGACGTGAATCGAAGAAAGTTATTGACGACACAACAAATTCAGAAAAAAAACTGCAATGCATGTTTAGAATAATTACTTTCTCAGCAATATCGGCCAGAGGGCAACAGGAAGCAATGTCTGCGGTGTTCACTGTAATCAGGCACCAGGCTGTAGTGTGAAAAGGGACGTCCGCAGGCACTCATAAAGCAATGTCCTAGTGCATCACGAAAAAACCAGAGTGACTGTATGAAAGATCTGAGTCTTGCCAAAACGCAGGCAAATACTGCACTGCTCAAATTTTCAACTACGGCAATAGCAGGTCCATGTGTTAGCAATCCCCTTGCAAATTCCAGTAAACGTTTTGTCATGACGGACATGCCTGTGTCTGTTTAAAACTCCCAGTGGACACAATATACCACGGTAGGAAACTCTTCAAGCAATGCCTTACTTCCCATATTTAGTGTGAAAACGTCACTGATCTAGAAGTTTTTAGGATGGGCCACCTTAAACGCTCAAAGCGTGGCTCGAGCGGATCAAAA